ATTTAACTGTTTAAGCACAATGTTGTAACCATGTTTTTTTTATTTATCTCTCTTTATCCACGTCTTTCAGTCTTGTAATTCTTACTGTACACTCTGCCTCTCCACTGAAGTGGCTGCTCGCAGGCTATGTTGCTGCTGACTCTATAACTGATGTTGTGGCTCCTCAGGGCTCTTATGTGCTGAAGAATCATATGGGCCTATATTGTGTGCAATTGTACAGCACTTTCAGCCAATAACTCACATAGAAACTGTATCCACAGCAAAACTCTTCAGACACGAACACTAACAATAACCACCTATATATATATTATTTTTCAATCATACATAAACATATAGCAAACAGATCGATATATCTACCTATCTGTTCATAAACGTTTTCCCCTGAGCAGCTGCAGGCATAGACATATTGATGACTTGTGAGATTGATAAATAAATAAAAACTTTTCTTTTCGAAAGCACCCTCACCTGGCCTTTAGACTTGGCCAACCACTTTAAATTTAAAATGAACCACACAAATCATAACCATAAAGTTTTTAAAAACAGTCCCTTTTATTAAGCATGGACTCAAATTAAGTCACAGAGCATATTTTGCACAGAAATTGAATTTTATAAAAAAGAAAACAGCCCCTGTCCATTAGAGCAAGTCTATCTAGGGAAAAAAAAAAGTGGCCCATGTGATTAACAGTGTCATTTGACAGTCGTTCCTGTCCACATGTGATTTCCTCTGTGTATACAAGCGCTTTCCGCTGGGTGAAATGTGTGCACAATGCGCATGCTCATGGGCTGCAGGGCTCCCTGTGTGCCTTAGCCTTGTCAAGTCTGCTTCTCAGATCAACGCTGGTGGCTGACTGTGAGCTGTTCCGAGGAGGAGAAAGTTAGGTGTTGGGGGACCTTAGGGTGTTGGGGAGGTAGTGGGGGTGGTGGGGTGTTCTGGTGGGTCAGCACAGAGAGATTGTAAAGATAGAAATAAATGGACAGCGTGGACACAATGTCTGATAGCAGGTCCAGCTGAGAAAACAAAAATACCCACGGAGCACTAAAACCTGAGGGGTGAAAAGTATGCCGGTCTGGAGAGAGGTCAGATTCCCCACCATATCTAATTCAATTTTACAAACTGTAAGAAAACACGCTGCTGTTGCTGCTGCTGCTGCTCTCCAAGCGCTGGGGAAAATGTGCTGCAAGTATGTCCGTTTTTACACTTCGTGATCAAACTTCTTTCTTCTTCCAGTGAGTCGGACACGGCAACGTTTCGTTTCGCTTATTGAGCAAACCGAACAAGGAAGGCTTCTGAATCCCTCCTCGATATTTTTATTAGAAGGGAGATTTTAAAAGATTGGTAGTCTAAAACAGCTTAAAAATCCGATTCAATATTATTGTTAGATTAAAATAAATAAATAGGAGCTTAAGACTCAGTGGAAAGGATTATCTTTGCTGCTTGCGGTAGTACACGTTACGAGTTTAAAAGACAGCAAACCTGCTAAAATGAAGCCTAATGTTGGGCCAGGGGGCATGTGCTTGCACAGTATCTTGTGCTGAATGTGGTCGTGTTTGAAAAGGCCACAAGAGGCTACAGACTGCACAGAGCTGCATGCGCTCTTGCTGGTGGTCCAGTCGGGCCTGGTAAAGACATTAGTGCAGCATTCTGGGAGGACGGGGAGTCCCATAGACAGCGCTCACTTCTCTAAATAAACATTAGTCTTAAAAAGTTTGGCCCCACGACCTCAGCGTGATCGCATTTCACTCTGGATAGTAAACTTGAATTTTATCACGAGGTTTTCGACGACTTTTGAAAACACACTTTCACGCTGGAAAATAAAAATAGACGTCAGATTAAACAAAAAGTTCGTGTTCACATTTTGGTGAGAAATACACTTGCAACCAAGTTTGAAGTATAATCATTATGCTCTTGAAACCCACCAGCCCTGTGATCAATTAACAACCAAACACGCTGAAGCTGGCCTACAGTAGACTGGCGGGAGTACACGTGTGCATAATTTGTCCTCGCTTATAAGAACTGGGATCAGTTCCTTCATTAGAAGAAAGATTTGTGTATTTAAATATGAATGTTTGTTATAAGTGGCTCGCTGATAATAACGGTTTAATTCATATTAAATACACGAAAGGGCAAATCTGAAGGTTTAACATCCACACTTTTGTCAACAACCCGATTTAATTAAAACAATAGCAACATAATGCTTTTTCCCGCTGTTTGTTCTATGGGGGTTAAATTAAACGCTTTATCTGCTCGGAGAATATATCCTAAATCAATAATTATAGGCTTTGATAAGTGGGTCGCAGCCATTAATCGCAGTAGATCCTTGCTGTGAGTCTAACGCGCTGGCATCAAAGGTCAACTGGAAGAAGCCAGTAAAAGCGCCCGCAGTGACACCGCTCGCAGTGTGCAAGAGCGACGGGCAGCAGCTGCGCCTCTCTGTCAAAGCGATAGAGAAAAGTGTTGCACTGTCGCCTTTCCGTTAGTGCGGCTAAGCCAAACCGGGGAGACGGACTGCGGGAGGAGAAACCGAGTGCCAAACATAAGGTCCGAGGACTACCTGAGGGCCTTACAAGGCACTCGTTAGGTCCCTTTTCGATGTAGCCCTAAATGCATCGAAAGTGAGTGTGCAATGCTTTCAGATCAATAGTTCTGGGGGGATTCTAAGGGAGGATACGACACACTCACATGACACACTCACATGACACTTCAACCTGAGGATGAGGATCAAGTGCTCAGGTCCCAAAAACTGTCGCTCACCAATCATTTTTCAGAAATCCCTACTTGTGTGATAGAATAAGAGCGTAAATTCAATTAAAAACGGAACCAATACACGAAAACAAACAGCTAAAATAAAAAAAACAGAAACTTTAAAATAACTTAGACATTGTTTATGTAGAAAACAAACTGTATTTTCTCCTATAAGTTCTCTCCGTGTGCTACATGATCTGTCACTGTAGTGTTTTTGTTTTTCTAAATTTTGCTGATATTGTGCCATTTCTTTAAACTGCTTCCAGAGACAGATGTGTGAACAGTCACGGGATCGCGTACGCGCAGGCCTTCAGTGGCGTGCAAAGCAGATGTACCCCTAAGTCCACGTATGTGGCCATTAAAAGAATGTATACCAATTTGCGCACAGGCGACACATTTATTAGTCACGGGCACTTCCCAAAGCTTTATTTTATCCACGTGGATCGTAAAATATGACAAATTAAAAATGACCAATAAAAAAAACTTTTTTTTTAAATCCAGTAAACACGAACCAGACTTTATACGATCCCCACTCTTCTTAAACAGGCTAGAATGACGGGTGCAGTAGCCTTACCTGATATCATATTCTGGTGATCCTTGCGCAGTAATACTATCTTCAGTCATTAATACCCCTGCCCCGATAAAGCGTGTGTGTCCGTGCATAGACCAGGCAGGCCATCGTCTTTATTTTCTGCAGCAGGTGTTCTTTTAGTCTGTCGAGTCGGCAGGGCGAAGATCTTCCAAAGTTAATATTGTGTTTCCAGAGATGATGGGGAGTTCACTGTCCTCGCTTTGTTTACACATTCTAAATTAATTAAGCGAAGGATTCCTCTGTCTGTTGCAAAAACACGGAGGCTGGAGGGAGGCTGGGTGCAGCGAGGGGAGGCTGTGATTTATTGCGGCGGTGCAGATATAGGGCCGCGGATCGCCTCTCCTCCAGGCCGGGGAGCCGCGGACCGAGCCAACATTCCTGTGCGGGGGCGAGAAAGGGAGGCTCGCCTGCACGCACATAAAAACACAAGGGACGTGGAGAGGGTGATCTCTATGGGACAAGAAATGGTCATGTATACAAGTGAAAGTATCTGGGGGGAAAGTGCATAAAAATGAAGGAAGGAAGCCTCACCAGTGCTTTCACAAGTCGAGGGGAAACAACGTGGAGTGTCTCTGTCTATGTGTGTGTGTGTGTGTCCAGAATGTCCCCACCAGTATAACGAGAATGGTTTGTTTTTATTATTAGCACACTCCAGAGTTATCCCAACTGTGCAGCAGCAGGTTTTATAATTATGTATCCAGGCAGGCCTGTAGGAGCATAACCAGCGGAGGTTAAGGAGGAATCTGATTTCTCTCATCAGAGGAATCAGTTTGTCTCATAGAACAAAGTTGACGGATTTTAAAGCTTATAGATGAATCTTTTAAAATAGGGAGCCAGCTTTTGTGCCTTTAAGGCTACAGGAGGCGGGTATTCTCATCCTACATATTGGCATGTTGTAACCTTGCCATAGTGCCATAGTGTCTCTCTCTCTCTCTCTCTCTCTCTCTCTCTCTCTCTCTCTCTCTCTCTATATATATATATATATATATATATATATATATATATATATATATATATATATATATATATATATATATATATACGATATTCGTATCGATATTGAACCGTTCGATACAGTGCTTTCGGTTCGGTACGCATATGTATCGAACAGCACACATTTGTAATATTTAAATAGTATTTATTTACATTGATGACTAAGTTTTTATATTATATTATATTATATTATATTATATTATATTATATTATATTATATTATATTATATTATATTATATTATATTATATTATATTATATTATATATGAGTAAACGTGACTATTCTCTTAACACCCCGAAATTAGGAACTTGACCTTGATTATCGTACGCAGTCACACATCCCGCAGAAAAATCACACACACACTCATGGTGTCCTTGTACTGTCAGCGCACTCTGTCCTTACGTCCTTCAAGATGCAGCGGTGAACGATGCATCGATCGGGGGCATGACGTTATTGGCAGGGCTGTGAGATATTTAAGTAAAACGATTTTATTTAATCCTCTGGGGTCATATAGTGTGTACTGAAAAACATTAATAATAATCATCATTATCATCATCATCATAATCCTGGTTACCATATAATTTATTGTTATTATTATTATTATTATTATTATTATTATTATTATTATTATTATTATTATTATTATTACTATATGACCTAGTTCTTTATTTTTCCCGAGGACTTGAAGAGCCTAAAGGGAACAAATATTTAGAATGAAATGAAAATAGTTCTAAATGTATGTTGACATCTAAAGCCTATAAATAAATTTTAGCGGGTTTAAGGCTGCTTATACGCCCAAGCAGGGGCATATGGAAGCGGTTAGAAAGAGACTGGAATTGCCCCGAAAACTAAAATGTGTTTATGGTGACTGTTGAGTCATTTGGCTGTCACTTCACATAGCACTCAGTTATTTCGTTTGAGGGAAAACGTCACGAAAATGACGAATGTCGTTGTGGTGTCGGGATCAAGTCGCAGTCTGGTGCTGAAAGCACGGGTGGTCTCGGAGTGACAACAGCGCCAAAGAACTTTATGAAGCATTAAGCTATCAGTGTGCATGCAGTGATTACATGCTGCGTGGGACTTGCATGACAAATTAAAGAGTGTTTTTAAAGATGCGCCCCTGATATCTTTGTGTTTGTGCTCGTTGCTCGCAGTGGTTTGAGGAAGAGCAAGTTCCACTTCTATTCTGGTCACAAGCCTTTAATCTTACAGCAGAGATGGAGCTTGGATGGTCAGTGCGCATTCGAGCTGAAAATCCATACAAATTAGTTCAGTCTCAAATGGTCCGTTTTCAAAGCTCTTTCCCTCTGCATGAACCTCCCCGTGGCGGATCTGTAGCTTGCATTAAAAGTCTCGCGATTTTTATTGGCTTCGTTTTCGTTCCTGTCGTTATTTAACCGTTTAACCACCTCTGCACACGCTTGATGTGGATTTTAATGGTCTGATGCGGCGCATAATGACTCCCTATCAGCGTGGGCGTGCGGAGAAAACTCTCAATAGTGCGCTAATGTTTTTTCCACCTCATTTACTCTGCAAATTATACATAGAGGATATCAATTAACACTGTGGATATACCGGGAGAGGCGCTAATCATAATGATTTCCCAAAAGCTGTATGCGACTTTTATTAGTTGTCCAATTTTAGCTAACAAGGAGAGGAGAAGAAATAGAAATGAAATAAAGGCTGCTTCTGAGTAAAGAAAGTAGTCATGTGTTGGTTTTCGTTTCAAAGACTTTCAGTGAGCTGTGCTGAGGGGAAAACACAGGAGTCAGCCCTCCCACCCTTCATCCTTAATAATCATCTGTCAAAACACCCACAAACTAATTTAACCATTTGCGCACAGATCTGGTAAATAAAAGAGGCTTTACACCAGCTTCTGTCTGGAAACATGTGCTCCAACAACTCTGAAAAAGACCAATAGGCCTGTTTTCTGTAGCCGGACTTGTCCCACTGTTTCTTTTGAACGTATCCCGAGACAACACAGATGACATGAAAGCCGAGCAAACCGAGGGCCTTTTGAGAAGATTGCTTTTCAGGGTCCAAATGCATGTGGCTGGTCTCACAGGGGACCGCTCGCTGTGCGCACATTCACTCCCCTGGGCCAGGGGTCCACACTGACAACATCAACAAACGGCCAAAAAGCCGCATTATGGTGGATTAGGAGCCTGGTGAAAAATGCTGCTACAAATTAGCAACGAAAGCCCAAAAGACCGTGGGTATATCCTTGTTCACTTTCAATTACAGACCGCCGAGGCCCGCTAATGTTCCCATTCATTTAAAGCCTTTGTAACTCGCTAGAAAATGGTCCTTTACAAGCGAGCAAGAGCCACACAAGGGGAATGCATGCCCACTGTTGCGTGATATTCGTGAGTGTTATAAACGTCGAGCCGTGTTTGAAACATTTAAAACCGAATTTTGTGGGTTTCGTTTCTCACAGCTTAAATTAGTCTTAATTTAGCGGACTGCATGCCCAGGACGCCAAATTGCTTTAATTGGTCAAATCAACACCTGAATTAGTCACATTTAGGAATTGAACGACTGATACAAACATCGTTAAAACTGTGGGTTATTCAGGTGGGCAGGATATGGACTGTAAGTGTCATTATAAATAAATAAATAAAAGTAGCTTAAATGCAATGAAATCAACGACATTTAGTTTTCAGTTTAAAAAATTGTTGCAAATATAACATGAATGCAATTCGTTATTGTTCAGTCTATGGCGTCGAGTCTGCTTGAAGGTCATCTTCCCATGCAATAAAAAAAACATTTCTTTAAGTCACAAACATTTATTATTCTTGTCATTACAACAAAAATGACCTATGAACATTTAGGTGTTTTTCTATTGGCAACACATGACATACTGTATGCTTCACAGATTAAATTGCGAATAGGTAGGAACGAACAATTAAAAGGTTGAGAGAGGTAATACGCTCTTTAATACCAAAAGTCACATAGCCTAAGGGTCCACTGACAACATGAAATGATATTGTCACAAATTTACCATGTAGAGAAGATTCAGGGGGAGTGATAGTGGAAAAATTGTAGTGTTATTTTTTTAAATTTCAGAAACACCCCTTTGTCTCCGTGTGCTTTCTAAGTAAAAACCTGAGTTTACAGTCTCTTGTCAGCATATCTCAACAACAGTGCCACTTTTTCTATAGACACAAAATAAAAATAAAAAACAATATAAATCAGAATAAAATTCTCAATTGTATTTTGGAAAAATAAAATCAAAAATAATCCCCGTAACCACTTAGGACAAATTTAACTTATGTTAAAATAACAGACTCCTTTTTTTCCCTCCACTGACAACTGAAGGCCACATGCCACACTGCAGGCCAGCATTATTTAAAAAGCTCTCTCTCCGAGTTTCTCTTGCTTTTGTCTCTCAATATTATACACATATTTACACCCTATAAATAAACCTGTCTCTCCTCGTACACTGTTAAGAAACTGGGAGAACAAGAAACATTCTTACTTCACGAAGAATGTTTACCCTACCTTCACAGAGGACGACGCCACAATTGATTTTTTTTTTCATGAAAAATATTCAGAGGGCATTCTGGCAGTCTTTTCTTTTTCTCCTATTTCTTAAAAAGGGCAAGTGTTCATATTCGGGGTTTTACTGGAAAAAGTTTGACTCTGCGGCCCAGGTTGTAATATGCTCTCCTGTGATAAGTTCAAATGACTTGAGGCAGAGGCCAGTGCTGGGGTCAGCATGGCCAGAATCTGAGCCTGGCTACCCGGCTGTGCGCTGTAGGAAGAAGCGGTGGAGTTGGCTGCACCAATGATATTATCAATGGAGAACGAAGGTCGACTCGGGGCGCTGGAGTCCGTCTTGAGGGGTGGCAGAGAGGGGCTTAGCTGAGGATAAAAAGGCTTTCTTAAATCGGTCCCTAAAAGGGAGGGCAGATGATGCGGCGCGGGGAATATGGAGGCTGATGAGGGCAAGGTGCAGGGGGCGTTAGGGAACGGGAAGGAACCACCTGTGTGGTGTGGGTGGTAAGGGTTGTGGGCTGCGTGGAAGTTCTGCAGCTGAAGTCCATAGTTGTATCCATACGGCGCATATCCAAATCCTGGTAGAAAGCCACCGGAGTCCCTGAGGATATCATTATTTTGGTGCCTCTTGAAGCGCTTCCGCCTGCGCAAGAAGCTCCCGTTGTCGAACATGTCTGCGGAATCCGGGTCGAGAGTCCAGTAGTTGCCCTTCCCGGGGTTGCCGGGCTCCCGTGGGATTTTCACAAAGCAGTCGTTTAGGGAAAGGTTGTGACGAATGGAGTTTTGCCACGCAGGGAATTTTTCCCGGTAGTAGGGAAATCTATTGCTAATAAACTCGCAGATCTCACTCAGAGTGAGACGTTTCTTGGGGCTCTGCAGGATGGCCATGGTGATCAGAGCGATGTAAGAGTACGGTGGTTTCACAAGTGCACTTTTTCTGGGTTTGTCCCCAATCGCAGTCCCGGTCTCTGCATTGGACCCGACCTGATCTGACGGGCAGTCAGAGCTGCTGAGCCCTGGAGAGGCAACCCTCTCGGCCGTGTTCTGGGAGTAATTATCGTCCGAGTCATTGTCGAAGTTGAAGTCATGGTGGATGTACTTTCCGTCTTTTCCAACCGATATGTCACCACCAACCACATCAATGTCCACATCCTCGGACAATGCAGAGCTGTCGGACATATCCGTCCCTAAAGTCATCCTTGGAGTTGCCGCTTGTCTTCCTCCTCTCTCCCAGATTTCCTCCTGCTCTCGTCCGGTGAGGCTACAGAGCGAGAGCGCGCACACACCCTTCCTCTCTGCCTTACAACCACACAAGGGTTTTATTGCAGCTTTATCTCCAACTACCGAAATCACACATGGCTAAAATTGAAAAAGACAAATAACTCTTTGACCTGTGGATTTGGCGTGTCCTCGGAGTCCGAGTCTGGTCAAGCGGGGCCGTGCGACGCTCTCATCGAGAAAACTTCTGGGAGTCACGCGTAAAAAAATAGAGTCAAAGATCAACGATCTTGCACCGATAAGAAGTCGTGTTTTCCTCAGACACGATGGTTTCCGTCTGTGATCACTTCAAGCTTATTCTTATTGTTCAAAAACCTACTTCGGGGCATCCAAATGTCTTTTCAAAAAAGCTTTTACGCACAAGATTGGGTAGGTATCCAGCCAGACTGTCACACTATCCTCCTTAGTGCTCAAAAGGTATTTATAGGGCCACGCTGATCACGTGGTCTTTGAGTCACTGTTACCAGGAACTGGACGAAATTATCCAGCAAAAAACAATATTTGCATTTGCTCTTGAATATTATATCATATGTTAAAATGTTATACTAATAACAGAAGCACTCAAGTCTACACAGGTTGAAACGACATCAGTTGTTCCCTTGTATATGTACATATTTTAAGACCTCCAAGTGCGAAGATCTCAAATATTCTGTGCATATTTTACGCTTTATCAGAGGGAAAAGAATATAAGAAATAGGCATGTGAATGTATGTGTTAAAAGTGAAAAACTGTCTTACTGGTAGCTTCTTATTCACTTTAAAAAAAGAAAGAAAAAAGTTTCATACCTGGACATGAAGTGTTTGATTCACTTAAAGAAGACACCGTGACTTCAGGGGAAGGTGCACCACTGATGGTGACTGATCAGAAAAAAGATTATAAAATTATTATTATCATTATTGATAATAATAATAATAATAATAATAATAATAATAATAATAATAATAATAATAATAATAATAATAATAATAATAATAATAATGCACGCATATTGAGAGAAATCAAAAATTTGAATCTGTTCATAAAGTAAAAAAGATGGAAAAGAAAAGATAATAACAATCTGCAGCTCAAGTTATTATTATTACTAGTATTGTTATAAAGCTTTTTAATTGAGGTTAATTTATGAAGTAGAGTGCACAGCACTTTAAAATCCGAGTGTGAAATAGATTTTTTTTTTAAAATATACATATTTTACTAAAATAGTCCTCGACACGTTTTTTTTATTGTTTTTTTTTGTTCAGTATTTTACATTTTTCTTTCGATTTTATCTAATGTAACGTAACCTTAAATCCGTTTTGTTTATTCAAGTATCCAAAGTGCTGCATAAATAAGTTGTACAAGCGGAGCATGCACAACTGTCTGAAAGGTTTCAGACAGGCGCATAATTCCGTGATTCAAACGAAGAAAAAATTCTCACGGGTTTAGTGTTTTCCTCATCAACAATTCGCAGCATTATTCGTGGGCATTTTCTGCATATTTTACAGTGTTACACGGGGGTATAGTGTGCCGCAACCTGCTTCAATTCATCTTCGTGAAAGGCCAGGAGCAGATGACAAAGTGCAATGTGTGCGGGCTTATTTAAAGCAGGCGGGCATTCCAGTTCATTATGGGGCAGAAACATCGAATTACTGTAATGCGTTTACATCAGCACCCCATTAATCCTAGCTACAGGTCAAACAGCAAACAGATCAGATTCATATATGTCATATTTTTTGCTTTTAGGGTGGGTTTTTTGTTTGTTTGTTTTTGGGTTTTGGCACGTCAAAGAACAAGACTGTTTTCTTTTTGTTGTTTGTTGCCTTTTCTTGAACAGTGTGTGTGTGTGTGTGTGTGTGTGTGTGTGTGTGTGTGTGTGTGTGTGTGTGTTGTTTTTACTGATAGAGCAAGTTCAAATCGAGCATGCGTAACCTTAAACATGGAAGCGCTTGCTGATCCATGTGTCCTGCTCTCTGACCTGCCTGTCACAAGTCTTTTAAAAATCTGAAATAGACGCTCTGACACCTGCCTGACAGCTACCCAAGAGACATAACACATTAACTTATATTAGATCATTCTTACGGAACCCAAGGCCCAGCCTTAGTTTTATTCACAGATCAGTGAAAATATTGCTCTTATTTGTTTGTTTATTCCCTCTATTATCTTTTAAAACACCGACCATATGTCACAATGACCTGCCTTACGAACAGAAGGTAGCAATTCGTATTGCCTTCATTTGATAACTAATGCTGGTTTTTTACTTACAGTATAACCAATGAATCAATTATATACATATTTACGTAAAAATATTGTCAGTCTACTTAATGCTACGTGTGTAATCACGTGGAAGTAAGAAGAGTAAGAGTTACCGGAGTGTTAGTGGAAAATGATTCTATGTTTCTTTACCTTCTTTTAAATGTACAAAGATGCCCTTTGTCTATGGTTAGATTAGTTTAGAATTATCCTTTTAGACTTTCCCAGCGAAGACATATTGTTTTGGGACATATTGTTTTAGATTGTTTTATCTCTCACAGCTTTCTCCCAGCTCTCTGCTGACGAGACTAGCGCCACATATGGAGTTGTTTATTTTATCTGTTTATTATTTTCTTATCCTGTTCTCACTGTCTTTCCTATAAAAAGTGCCAAGCCTCTGTTCACGACGTGAGTTGTTCTCAGCAGCTCACCCGTGTTCACGTTAAAGCATAAAAAGTAACCTTGTCTCATTGTGTCTTTATTTCTCCTGGGTTTTTTACAGAGTTTTCCCCCAACACGGAGCTTTTGAGAAGTTATCATCTTTTAAAGCTTCAGTAGGCGTTAGTTCATATTCTCTGCGACTCTCAAAAAGAAGAGGTTTATGGTGTTTATGGTGTTAACAGGTTTATGGTGTTAAGGCGCCCTCTGCTGTTTGCAGAGCAGTGATAATTAAAGTCTTGCACTCGCAGGTGAGACTGTGTGCTAGCTGTGACTCATTCAAGCAGCAAATCGGTAAAACTTGCACTGACTGGCAGAAGTTATTGAAACATTCTCACGTAATGAGGAAACCACTTTATACAATGCAAAAGCCTTTGTTAGAAAAATTAATATAGTTTTATTTTTTTTATAATGCCAGAGAAGTACATAACTTCTATATTAGGCTATAAAATATCAACTACTGTTGATGTGCAACACAACACTTCCTGAAATAAACTGTCTGGCTGAATAGACGGTTAGTGCTTGACTTGAGGTTAAGGGAGCAGATTGTACTGTGAGACTAACACCTGCTGAAAACTCATATGTAAGTATGTAATGTAAATGAAGCCTGGTATAGTTACACATGAGCGCCTGCTGGATATTATTTTTAAATTGATGGCAAATAAAGAATAAAAATGTGATCATAATGACTGGATTGTGGCTTTCCTGGATGTCCTTATAGTTTGGGATACTTAAAAAATAACATTTTGCTTAAACAGTCACATTGTGTGTCTCAAACCTTCAGTGCGTTTTGTTGACGCAAGCACTTTTCAGCACTTGAATATGAAAATTAGATTGAGATTGCATCTCAGTGATGAAACACGAACACCGAACAAGACTTAACAACAAAATAAAAATTTAAATAAGCTCATTTCAATAAATCAGAAAGTGTTTTCACTGGTGACTGTTCTTCAAAATATGTTCGGGTAAATCATAATTCAAAAAGTTAATGATTAAAAAACTTAATGGAGGGTGGAGAAATGTATACAAGCTGGACACGTCGTGCCTTTGCTTCCACCTAGTGGTGGGGCAGCTGTCCGAGTCCTTCGGCGACTTCAGCGCTTCAGAGTTATCTAATAAAAGTTTTGGGGCGTTTTTGCTGAATACACGGTTGTTGTGATTGGTTGGCGTGAGGTTTGGGCGGTGATGACCAGACCTGGACTTTGAATTTGACTTTTCTGTTAGAATTGTTAGAAATTGTTGGGTTTTATCCTTCAAACGGAACAACCATTACAGTTTATACTTGCAAGTAAGTGCTTTACTCATGGGTATGTTTGCGTTTCCACAAATTTGTCCCAGGTGCCTAAAACGGAATGTTTTTCTTACACCTTTTTTCAATCTGTATTATAAGTCAAATATAAGTCATATAACTGTTTACACGATAATTTATCCCAACTATATACCTCAGAGATAAAAAAAAAAATTTGTCCCAGCTGTTGTCTGAAACATATTTTGTCTCCAGCAATAACTGCTATGCAAACTTTCTTTATGTCCTTATTTCATTAGATTACCAGGAAATTAATTTCCACAAAATACGGCTCATATGTGGCTCTTTTTTTGTTGTTTTCTTTTCTTGTGTTGTGTTGCTGTTGTTACAATTCACAAGTCTAGAAAATTACATGTAAAAATCCATAAAGAGGAAAAGCCTACAAGATATTAAAGATTATTATAGCAGGGATGCTTAACATAGCATAACAGTAATTAATAATTAATTAACAAATTTAAAAAAAGGCTTAATGCAGGTTTTGGGGCATTTATTTATTTATTTTTACAGTTTGAGTGTCTTTGTTAAATCGCCATGCATCTTTGCTAACCTGAATTCCATGTGATTGGTATCAAATTCAAGAATGATGGTAAAGATGATTTTAGTTTTAGTTTTGAGTCTAGTTTTTTAATTGAACACTTCTCAATAAAAACTCTATTTGTTTTATGTCATTTATTATTGATTATGTCAGTGAAATACATTTAAAATATAATTATTCATTCGTGCATTTGAACACAGAAAGTTCGAGTCTACCTGTACCCAACTCAAGACGTCATTTTAAAAGTGTGGATTTTGAATGGTTCATTGGTGATTCGTGGTGATGCAACGATTCATTCCAAAGAACTGACTAAAGTGGTTTATTTGTGAACTGGTTTAATATTTTCTCACACCAATTTAGGTTAAATCAATGTAAGAAAACTGTGTTCATAGATTTTAGCTTGTATTGACATGGAATCTTTTAAAAATAAATATTACCCATTTTCATAGTTTTAAAGTTTTAAATGGTCAAGGAAAAAGGCTACATTTACTTTACTGTAAAAATCCTTTTTATTTCCTTTTTATATCCTTTGTCGCGTGTAATGCTAACACCCTTCCTTTAATAAAGTCTTTACATCAGCACAATATTTACATAAAAAAACAGCAGACGTGAAACAGCAGACGTGAACAGTCTATAAGAAGCATGTAAACTTAAAAACAAACGGCAAAATACAGGAAATACGAAAGCAGTGTTTCACAGATTAGTACATATTGAGATACACTCATGGAATGTGTCAAACTAAATGGCTTTACACCTTTTCAAATAGGAATGTTTCATAGTGAGGCTCGGTCTTATTGTGTCATGTCCTTTTGAGCTTGGCAAAAATTAAATTCCGAAATTCCAGCGTGAACTAAATCTATTATTTATTGTTATGCTGACTGAATAATATGGACTTATTATTTTTAAGCTGTTCTTCTGATTAATTTGGGGCTTTTTCCTTTAATGGACAATTTAGGTCTAGAATCCTTCCTGTCTGCACTCAATTAAGTTTTTAGTTTTCATCTTACATATACCGCTCTAATCCTGACGCAAAGTTGGCTTGTCTCATGTAAGTGTTGTTGTAGTTCATGGGGCTGGAGAGGCCCAGTAGCTGCTCCGAGTGCTCGGCGCAGGAGCTCGGGCGCAATGCCGGTAGGGAGAGCCGGTTGCTCGTACAGTACACTTGGGAGCTGCCCGGGGAGAATCCGGACTGGGTCATGGTGGGTAGATTTGGAGGAGAAGCCGGAGAGGAATATGGGTACCCGGTGGTCAGGTTGGATGAAAGGTTCCCGCTGTTTCTGCTCAGCATGTTCGCTGACGGGTTGACAGTCTGAGTCTGGAAGCAAGCAGACGGGTCGGCGCCGGTTACCGAGCAGCTGGAGGTCATGGTGCTCAGATCGCCTCCACCCAGCCCCAGCGCTTGGGAGTTGAGGTCCCCAACTGGGCCGCTCTGCACAACCGTCTGCTGACTGATGATGTTGTCGATGCTGAACATGCGCGGCTGTCCTTGGCTGACTCCAGCAGAGGTCTGGTAATGATGCAGCATGGCTGGGTGTGGGGATGTGGCCGTCAGCTGAGAGCCGTAACCTGACCCTATGCCGGCATACAGGGCGTTTGGATACGAAGGCCTTCCCATTGGCGTTGGCGTAAAAGCGCTGGAGCTCTGCATGTAACCGGGGTATGTGCTAACGTCTGTGCGCTTGAATCTTTTCCTTCTCCTCAAAAAACTTCCGTTGTCAAACATGTCCTCAGCTGCGGGGTCTAACGTCCAGTAATTGCCTTTACCTGGTCTGCCGGGCTCCCGGGGGATCTTCACAAAGCAGTCATTGAGCGTGAGGTTGTGGCGGATTGAGTTCTGCCACTTCTTCGAGTTCTCCCTGTAGAAAGGAAAGCGCTCCATTATGAACTTATAAATGCCCCCTAAGGTGAGTTTCCTCTCCGGGGAGTTGGCAATGGCCATTGCGATGAGAGCGATGTAGCTGTAGGGAGGCTTCCCCCTCTGGACGGGCCTCTTCCTCCTGCGGCTCCCCGAGGGCAGGTGCTCTTCAGTCTGACCCAGAGCGCCTCCGTCCTCCGTGTTGGGACTGTTTCCTCGGGGCTCGGACTTGATCAAAATGCTTTCCTTTGACCGGGCCTGCAGCATCAAAGGCGGTGGAGGCAGTGGCGAGTCCAGGCTCACATTTGGAGACATGACAACAGGACTTGCCTCGGCAGGTGATTGCTCTGCGGTCATGTTGCACATGCCAGAGAAGTAGGAATAATTTGCTAGATTCATAAAAGAACCAATGCAACGATCGCCTTTTTGTCGAAATGATCAGCAGGGGAAAGAATCAACCAGGTGCATGTACAGCCCCTTGCTCTGGCCCCTATCCTGCCCTGGTGTTTGGGGTAGTGTGTGTGTCAGTTCAGGTGAGAGAAAGGCGTTGACAGTTTTATATGACAGGGCAGGAATGACGCCACTGAGTAGCCAGTGACGACTGAGGCAGGAGGACCCACCGAGTACTCACCCAGAAATTGACAATTCTCTAACAAGACTGCTGTTTATATAATACAAAGACTTGCATGTAATGCTAAATTTTTAGATTGTAAAAAGTGTTGTATTTTTACATTGTAGGATTTAACATCTTTAATCAGAAGAGGCCCGTATATGGCAGAACCAAACAATAATATTGCATTTATTTGTCATTCTCACATGGATGTAATGTTTGAGACACTAACAAAAATTTTAGTGGCGATGCATTCTCTGTCTCTCTCTTTCTCCTTGTGTGTCTGTATCTCAGCTGCTCTCTCTGTGCTTTCACTAATGCCTGTGTGTATATCCAGGGCAGAAACAACACTCGGAGAGCTGCTCCATGCCACTCCAAACCCAACAGCCAATCCACCAATTGAAAAATAATAACAAGCCACTGAAAACAAGCAATTGAGCTATCAAAGCTTTTGGGCAAGAAAAGTAAATATCCCTTCATTTCATTTTCATTTTTGGAGAGTGATAATCAAACACTCCCCGTGGTGTAGAGGAGAGGTGTTATCTTATGGATTTTGAAGTAAAAACAGGGTTGTGCACACAGTTGGTATGCAGACAACACTCTTTGAAGACCAGAACTTGAAAGTGCTTTTAATTGATCATTCAGGCAAAAAAGAAGGCTGAAGTTAATTGCACAGGTAAAACGCACAGAGATGAACTACCAGTGTTTAAAATGTGGGTTAAGGTGTTGAAGCGAGCTGAAGGGAAGCTTAATAATGTCATGACATCCAAGCAACAAATTAAAGGAAAACCCAGGATAGAAGTGGTGGAATCCCTGGAAGAGTTCATAAGTAAATATTACGTGAGCAGTGTTATAAGTCACGCAATCACCAAAAATCTAATTCAACAACAACACGTCACACAAGGTTACATTTTTTGGTAGAAGGGTCAAATCTATGACAAACTAAACTGGGAGCATGCATTTGCCAGACACCATATTGGAATATTTTTTGTTGTTTTTCCTTTTAGTTGATCTCCCAAATATTACTGTACAAATATGTGGTCAATCATTGACAACTAGGTAGAACAGATCCATGGAGACAGAGCGATGATGTTCAAAAGAAGAAAGACGAGATGGCTCGTTTTCCTTCCAACATGAGTAACACAAATAAAAAAGTTTTGACAACAGCCAGACCAAAGCTATTAATCATCGCTGCCCACTCTTCTCCCAGATGCCTTTTCCCCCCGATCACCCTCTCTCTGCCAGCACACAGGAGCTGCCACCCCTTCCCACAGATGACTGGACCCCTCCCCACCCAGCCACAGCTCAGACAACACTAAGCCCAGCTAGCTACTCACAGCCAGTGGCTAACAGCTTCAGACAGGCGTGGGAGCGGGGATGTATCCAAGCAGGATCTGCCCCCAGAGCTGTCAGGTCAGGCAGGACAAACAGGGGCTCAGGCCAGGAAACGAGGCCTTCTGCCTCGGGGCCTGCGGCCTCTTGCTAATCCCCACCCTGACCACCTCATTACCCTGTCAGAGCCTTCACACCTCTCTGTACCTCAACACTATCAGTACATTAGTCATGTTGTACGGCCAGTCTGCATGCTTGTTTCTCTGTCACACCGTACTTTTACTTACTTTATTATGTTGTGGCTAGTCAAGAAAAAGCCCGCTACAGTAAAACATTTTAAATTAAGTCTATGGATGTGGGAAAATTAATCTAAAATGTAGAACAAGAGAAGTTACCAGCACCCAAAAAGTGGAAGTTTCATCTTAGAGTATAAAAACCCTGCTTAATTCTTAATAACTGCAAGAATAGTGACTAAAACTAACTCCAACTCTTAGCTGCAATCCAGTTGTTTAATATGTTTAATAGCTCCATTAGAACATTTTTCATCAAATTAAACTTTCATACATTTGCTATTTTTTATATTTAACTGTATATTAGACTGTAGTCAGTCAGTTGGAGTAACTTCACTGGTGGGAAATATTTGTTTGTTTTTTCGTCAGAAAAAACCCGACTTCCTTAAACCCCTCTGAACCTATGCTGTATTCTAAAGTGAGATGAATCATGTATCATATCGACAGGATTTTAACTGGAAACTACTTGGTAAGTGACAAATTATTTTAATGCAGAATCCTCCAAATTCACTCGTAAACAGAAGTCACAGACTTTCTCTAACATACAGAGCAGAGCATATATTTATAAGAGCATGAAGACAAAATATGAACAGGTAACTTTTTTCACCAACATCAGACACACAGTTAAACGTCGCAGCCACTGTGCTTTAAAGGGTAAACATGAACTAATTAGACCGCCATTCACTGGACACTTTTTTAGTTCCACCCATTCCACTGCGCATTAACCTAAATGTATAATCAGCCACTCACATCACAACTTAATGCATTTAGACATGGTCAAGTCAACATGCTGAAGTTCAAACTGAGCATCAGAATAAAGAAGAAAGTTGATTTAAGTGACTTTGAATGTGATATGGTTATTAGTACCACATGTACTGGTCAGAATATTTCAAACTGCTAGTCTACTGAGATTGTCCCACAAAATCATATTTAGGGGTTACAGAGAATGGTCTGAAAAGGAGAAAAATATCAACTCAGAGCTGATAGGAAAGCAACAGTAACTCAACTAACCACTTGTTACAACCAAGGTGTGCAGAATAGCATCTCTGATACAGTCCTCACAGATTCGCCAGAAGTGGACAATAGAAGATTGAAAAGCATTGTCTTGTCTGACGAGTCATGATTTCTTCTGCCACATTCAAATGGTACAGTCAGAATTTGGTATAAACAACATGAAAACGTGGATCCTTCCTGCCTTTAATTAACAGGTCAGGCTTCTGCTGGTGGTGTAATCATGTGGGGGAGATTTTTTCATACACTTCGGGTTGCTTAGTACTGACTGAGCATCATTTAAACACCACAGACTGCTTAAATATGCTTGATGGACATGTCCGCCCCTTTATGACCACAGTGTACCCTGCTTCTGAAGTCTCCTTGCAAGAGGATGACACACTACCACAAAGCTCAAATCACCTCAAACTGGTTTCTTGAAGATGACAATGACTTCACTGTATAGTCATCTACAGTCACCAGATTTCGGTCAAATAGACTTTTGGGATGTGGTGGGATGGATGTGCAGCTCACAAATCTGCATCAGTGGGATGATGCTATCATGTCAATACTGAATGTTTCCAGCACCTTGTTCAATCTATGCTGCAAATAATGAAGACGCTTATGAAAGCAAAAAGCAGTCCAACAATACTAGCAATGTGCATCTAACAAAGTGTCCTGTGAGTGTAAACTGGATGCTTATTTAAGGGTAATCAAATGAAGGAAAGATGGCTACTTCATCTCAGACAGACAATTTCACATGTCCAGTTTTATTTTGTTCTAAATGTTGATTCCACATTGTGCCGCCACACTGGATATTACATCCATCCTGAACCACTTCAGCCAGAGTTTGACATTGGGGGAATTTTCTCTCAGGAACTGATCATAAGTTTGCAAGATTTTCTGAACCACTTATGCCACTGGTAGGAAATCATGTAGCACGACTCCTACAGCATGTACTTTTCCAGTTTTGTTTTAATGTTCTTCACAAGTTTTAGCAAATCTCAGTTACATTTCCAGTCATATTTCCCAGTTTGCTAAGAGATTCACTGATGGTAGCAAGTTCACAGGTTCTCTTTTCCTTTTCCATGAAATCCTGAGAAGTACAGAGGGTGAGATGGATGGACAAAGTTGCTGAGTAAACACTTGGAATCTATTCATTCGCGCAGTGGCTCCAGGGGATGGGGAGGAGGGGTTCATGAGAAAAAGTGGGGGAATGAATGAGCGAGGGACAGAGGGAAAGAGAGGGAGACACAGAGAGAGAAACACACGGGAGAGCGCAACCTTTTTCTTGCTCAAGCTCATCAAGTACGGGCCAGGGCTCCTGAAAACGCAGGGATTACCAGGGAACAGGGGCTGTACTGGCCAGGGCCGCCTCTGCTCACTCCTGCACTGCACGCTACACTGCCCCGCTAAAGCACAGCGCATGGTTCTCACACACACACACACACACACACACACACACACACACACACACACACACACACACAAATCAGTCATGCTTGATGCTTACATATAAGGTAATCATATCTCATTTTCAAAATTTCACATGAACACACACAGATAAAAAAAAGAGTGAATATATGCGTCATAAATAGCTTTATAATTACTTCACAAGTAGTAATTTAAAAGTAATCATCTCTAATTATTATTATTAATAATTTTTACATTTTGGGACGTTAATGCAATAATAAACTGTCTAGAGCAAACCCCAGTTTTCTACTACTGACCTCTGACCATTCAAATGAAGAAACAGACTTTACTTAATACAGAATATACAGTTTATTCTGCAATCGTTCCTTCACCAGGCAACATAAACCTTTGACCCGTTGCTATATGATTAAAGATGTGCTACTTAAGTTACTTCCTGGATAAATACTTGTCTGCCCCCAAGACACCCAGACAATCCCTCAGCCTTGGGCAATGCAGTGAGGGATGCTGCAAAATACATACGTAAGACTGAACACCAAGCAGAGGTCAAATCCTGTTAAGGTAAACACAAACAATTAGGAAGTGAGCAACATGTGCATAAAGTGGAAAACATGACCGTCTGACAGAGTCTGTTGAAATGCTTCAGGGGATTCTTTTAGCAAGAAGCAAGCGGTGCATAAACAGAAAACTGAAGGTTAAGGAGAAGGGAAAACAAAATATAACGGCGAAACTTTTAGTGTTGATGTCTAAGCCAAAAAATATCAAAATAACTGACTGTTAACATCATTAAAGGAATAATTTGGCCACTTTAGAAATGCATCCATTAGAAAGATGAGAGGATTAAGTCCACTCTTTCCATTAAATATAAAGTTATAGTAGGAGATGGCTAGCTTAGCATACACAGTGAAAGCAAGCAAACAGCAAGCCTTGGTATATCCTATCTGAAGGATTAAAGAATTCACCTAACATCTTAAGTGCTCTCTAATTTAACATTGCATAGCCTAATATAGGTTTTTCCAGACTTTCTACCCATTTTCTATTATAATGGACTAGTTCTTATACAGCACTTTCCACTGGTGCTGTGTGATACTACAAAAATTGGCATTTATCCGATACCAAGTAAATACAGAGCCCATACTCCCAACACCAATATCGATACTTTTAACCTATGAAGGCAGCTTATGTATGGGAGAGCAGGGTGTTATGAGTTATGAGATGAATATTCATCAATTTGCAAATTCTGAACATATTTTAATGATCACTAAATTATTTGTACTTTCTTCTATAATTGAATAATCTGTCAAAACACACCTTACAGCTTCAGCGGGTGTTTGTAAAGCTGGGTTTTTCTGGAGACCTGGAATGTAAATGTTCCTGTCTCTAAAGCGCTTTGGGTCAACTTGTGTTGTTTAAATATGCTACAGGCTATAAATAAAATATAGATGACAGTCAACACAAAAACATTCAAACATTTTTCATACTGGATGTTTAAGGTTGTTTTTTTTTCATTAAAATGTTTTTTTTAAAAACACAATTCAAACTTTTACATACTGAACTTATAAGATGGAAACAAAGTATCACTCTCATTTTGCTAGTATTGATCCAATACCAATACTGGTGCTGGTGTACTATCACTAATGATACTACCCATATTTGGATCCATCTGCCCACATTTACTTTCCACTATAAATCTCATTCACCCAATCGCATTCATTTTATCTAACATTCACACATACACTCAGATCAGGGACAACTTCAGGTTCAGTATCTTGCCCAAGGTAACTTTGACACAAGAACACGATTGATCCAACAACCTTCCAATTGGTAAACGATCCGCTCTACTACCTGAGCCATAGCCACCCTAGTTTAATGACATAAAACACAGAAGTTCTTATATTTAGGGGCTAAAGTAGTCAGAGAAAACAACAAACAGCCTCGTTATAATAAAGTGAAGAGGCAAACACTGCCCTAATACTCCGCTCCTTAGTATGATCAGTCAACAGGGGGAAGCTTGCTGAGTGTAAAGGTCTTGGCTGACTGGTCTGTAGGTGCTTTTCTATAACAAGAGCCGCTGACAGAAGAGCAAACAGAGGAAACCATACACCCCTCTGTCCTGGAGAGCTGAGGTGGCCAGAAAACAAAGGAAGGAAATTCTTTGTCTGCTGAAAATAGTTTCACATAGATAAATAAAAACATAATAATGAAACCTTGTTTAAAGCATTAAATATACCCACAAGCAAACCTTTAAACAGAAGGAAATATAGAGCATGGTGATCTAATTCAGATACTGAACGTTGGAAATACTGTTTGTTGGCTTTACTGTATGAGGTACTGTGTTTTTGAAGCATTCCTGGGAGGCTATGTGGACCAGACTGGCAGACTGGGTGATGAGTAACAGCTCACCACAGAGGGAAGAAAGGCATGGCTGGCTTGTGTCTGTTTACATATTATCAAATGCACACAGATGTTAGGAGTAAATACAAGTGTTTTACTCTCCAAAGCTGTTTCACCTTGCATTATAATCATCCCAAACTGCAGAGCAGAGTATCAGTGAGGTCACAGTGACATAGGTAAATCCTTCATTAGACGTCAGAGTTTCGGAGCAGAGTGAAAAGGCAAGAGAGGTGGGCTCAGAGCGGAGACAAGGACTTTCATTCAGCTCCTCCATGTCTCCTTGTAAAACTATCTTTCAACATGCACTTCTCACTCTTTCAGTGCAGGCCTTCAAGCTTCAAGCTTCAAGCTTTGAATGTCTTATTTTACTCCAGAAAGGAAGCAAAAGGAAGCCACATTTCCAGTAGAACAATAATTTTATTTAATCACAAGTATTACAAACTGACACCAAAAGTGTCAGTGTTTATGTCACCATCATTAACAACACTTCTTGTATATCTCAAAGCAGTCATTGGTGCTGGCATTGCCTGGTGGTGAGAGATGGCCAGCAAGCATGCAAGCACACAGCAGCCATCTTCAAGGCATTATTACTCTGAGAGAGAAGAGAGTCGCGATAAGACCCGGCCTTTACACAGACTGATAATGTAGGGTTAAGGTGTCTCTCTCTCTCTCACACACACACACACACACACACACAAACTGTATGCACACACAAATACAGGCATGCACTTGTGTGTGAGATCAGTTTTAGTGCCAAGTCCAAATGGTCAGCCTTCATCGTGAAAAACTCATTAAAACAGAAAGGTCAGAATAAAAGTAGTTTCAAAGGCTGGATGTTTTCCAACACGTATAAATATAAAATATGAAGAAAAAAAAACCTTACTGGGAATGGAAAAGCTTTTCTACTCTATTTGAGCACTCAAACGACTTTATATAACATGCTTTGTTCACACATGCAGATTTTTCTACACCCAAGCGCTTTCTATCATTCACACATGAACGCACTGGAGAGCAACTCTGCCCAAGGATACTTTCGTAGTGGAGCAGCCAGGGATTGAATCACCAACCTTCTGATTAGTAAATGATCTGGTCGACCTCCTGAGCTACAGTCACCTCAAATAAACAAGGATAAGAAGAAATAAGAATATAAAGCCAAAAGTACATTCAGTTTTAGATACCCAGTTATTCTTATGTTCCCTCTTGCTGTCTACTTCTAATGGTTTGTGTGCTCATTTCTGTGGAAGGGACTTAAGACAGAAGTAGCTGACCAATGTTTGCCATCCAGTACCACACCCTGTCTCCTCCTATTGTTCTTCCTGTTGTTTAAGACTAGCCTATACAGGTGGGATAAGCATTCATTATGTCTTCTAAGACCAGTGTACACAAACCACCACAAGTAAGATAACTCACTAAGCAGATATGGGCTGAAGATACACATGTAGGTACATGCATGAGGTCTGCATGTTCTCCTCTGCATCTGTCTGTGAACAGGTTCCAGCCAGGTCATCTCTGTTCTTCTGACACCCCGAAGAGATTAGCTCCAGACACCTCTTGACCCTCAACAGAAACAAAAACAAAAAACAAATCAAAACATCTTTACATCAACTGAAATGCAGAACAAATACAGACTTAAATGTAGTTTTAAAAATGATTTTTTTTAAATTACTCCTTTACTTATCAAGGTAAAAATCTCACTAAGATTAAAGATCTCGCCAAGAGAGACCTGGCGTCATGGCAGCAAAAGTCAAAAACACATGCACCACATAACTACATAGCAATTAAGATGAATACAATATTCCATACAAATATGTGAAAAATATACAATAACAGCTTTTAGCTTTTTAGTGTATGAAGTTTACATGAATGTCAAAGAAGTTGAGCTTACACTGACAGTGGATGCAGGCTCTTACACCCATCTAGTGGTTACCAGATCAACTGCAGTCTCTGAAATTACCTGAGGTCAGTAGGAATTCTTTTTTCCAACCATAATTTGACTGGAGATCCTCGGCTTGGTCACAATATACAGTTAATAACATAAGAGTTAAGTATCAGTTTTTTTAATTACAGTCATTTTTATATATAGTGGCCATATTAAATTGTAACTGGACAATTATAATTGAAAAATTAGGGCCAGGCGAGGTCTATTCCTTCATTATTCCATGACAAATTAAGAAACTAAAAGATCTGGAGTTGATCCCAAGTGTTGAACTTGCAATTTGTAGCATTTCATTAGAATTCAGTCAGTGCACGTGAAGGGGGCCATAATTAACCTCCACATAAATCTATTAGAGAAAGTTGCAAAATCAGCAATCTGGTTCCATCTTTAAAAAAAAAAAGAATACTCGGGAACACCAAAAGGTCAGGAAGATCATGGAAGACAACCAAAGAAGATGATCACAGAATTCTCTCTGTGGTAAAGAAAAAAAAATCAGAACATCTACCCAAGTCAAGAACACTCTCAATGAGGTATGAGTATCATTATCCAGGGTTTACAGCAGAGTGCCATCCACTAGTTACACTTAAGAATGGGAAGGGCAGATTAAACTTTGAGAAAACATCTAGAAGACATCCACAAACAAGCAACAGCTGAAAAGTGCTGCAGTAAAGAGAGAAAGCAGTATTTGGTGATATCCATGAATTTTAGGCTGCAAAGGATTTTCAACCAACAACTAAAAACTGTTTTTATACTTAAAATTGTTGAAATTGTCCTTAATTTTGAGCTTCTCAAAATAGGGAATTGTGTATAAAAAGACAGTTAATGCAGTTAAACCCCATAAGGTAAACCTGAAAGTCTGCACTTCAGTCAGAGCTTGACTGCATGATTCAAAATCCACTGTGGTGGTGTACAGAGGCACATTTGCAGAAAATTGTCCCAGTTTGCAAAATCCTAAGGACGTAACTCTATGTGCAAACACAATTGTTGCTGTTAAAAATGAAGCAAGCTTCAGAATAAGGAGAAGGAACTTAACTAGAGGTTATGGGATATTCTGAAGGAAAAGATTACGTAGCTACAAATCGTTTAGTAAAAAAACTAATTTAGATAAGCCGTGATAACTGTACTTACTTCAGTACTGTAGGTGCAACAGACATTCCAGTTGCTTTTAAACGTCGAACGCGGAACAAAAAGAAAACGTGAGTTCATGTTTCTTCCGGTTTACAGAGTCGGCGTACAGGCGGTTTTCTTCAAAACATTATGGCGTCGAGAAGAGCGACAACAGTTCCAAGTAGTTTTAAAAGCATCCCCACCGACTCTAAAAGGTAGTTTCTATATTCCCTTTTTCTTTTACACTGCTGTTGTAACATTCTCCGGTGTGTGATTTGTTTTAAATTGTAGCTTATTTTAATGTGCAGAAAACACACTGAAGCTCAGCGGTTTTTCTTTGACGCACTATATATTCTTTTCTTTAACGACAGACCTAGACGTATTTAGAAATAGTTTATAAGTAGAAATACATTTACAAGAATTTTTTTGTGTAAAGAAAACTCAGGATAGCTCGGCTAACATTATAGTGTCTGGCTTAGCATACTTTCTGTTTGTTCCATTTTCGTCCTCATTTCTGTATCCTTTATTTCTTCTCAGTTCAAAAAGCAGTAACCCTGCTAATAAAGCCAACAACGTCGGATCTGTGAAGAAAACTGTTAAATGTAAGTATGCGATACTACTATGGGCTTAATAGATTGTTAATTTTACCTACAGCTGTCAGTGTCAGACATCACATTAATTTATAGTCCTAAAAACTCCTCAAAGGGTCTTCCACAAGGTATTTGAGCTGATCACTGTCTATGTGATTTTCCACAAAAGATCTAATAATGCAACTCAATTTGCATGATAGCTGTTAGGTATAAATAAAATAATCATGACACAATTTTTCTAGAACTTGCTTTAGGACTTTAGTGATGTGAGGCTTGCACAGATGTGTTACAACAGGGGTGGGGAACTCCAGGCCTCAAGGGCCGGTGTCCTGCAGGTTTTAGATAGCACCCTTGGTCAACAGACCTGAATCAAATGATTAGTTCATTGCCAAGCCTCTGGAGAACTTCATGACACGTTGAGGACGTAATATAGCCATTTAAATCAGCTGTGTTGGATCAAGGACTCGTCTAAAACCTGCAGGACACCAAGGCAGTTGGGGCCTGGAGTTTCCCACCCCTGTGTTACAGCAACATTCAGCCTAAATGTTTTTTTTCTTTCTTAAATAATATCCATAAATGTCCTCATTAATCTTTAGTAAGTGGGACTGTTGTTAAATCTCGATATCTTCAGTCTGCTGAGAAGACATCTCTTTCAAAGGTAATGCTATTTTTATTTCTGTTTTTCTGTAAAATATGTGCTTCACTTGTTCATTAGATACATCGTTCTTCATCGTTTTACATAGCTTTCAAAGCTAAGATGTTGAGATATTGTCTTCAGCCTCACATTTATATTTAGCACACGTCTTAATTTCATCTTGAATTTTGCTGTCACGTTTTTCATACTGATTGCATCTCTGTAAACATTAACAGAGTAACTCACTGACCAATGAGTCGATCACTGTGCCACGACCATCTTCACCAAAACCCACAGGTGTCAAACCAAAGGCGGGTACTCCGACAAGACGCTCAATGGCCCCATATGCAACATGTAAGTAATCCCTGTGGCCATAGTTGTGACTGTGGGTGCTGATTCAGACATGTATAGTAAATGTTGTGCGCTGTAATCATATTATCAGCTTTATAAAAAGCTTTTATTTTCATCTGTCAAGACCTTTATGCAGATCAGAGGTATCCAGTTCACTTTAGAGCTCAGTAATTAGGTCCACCTTAGCCAACATGCCAATAAAATCATGCATTATGATAATAGATTTACAAGTAGGCTGCCAAACAACCAAGTCACAACCACTTGAAATATTACAGCTACTGGCAGTTTTTAGTTTTGGACTGCAAAAGATCTTGTATCATGAAGTTTACAATACTGCATGCGATCTAGCCTTCTGGAGAGAAATTGGATACACATAAAAATAAAATAAAATTTTAAAAAGAGAGAAGTGAGAAAATCCCTCACTTTGGCTCTTCTAAGATAAAACTTTCCAACTACATTCCATCAGTTTGAGACTTGATGGAATGTAGTTTTATGCCTCTTTTCAGTTCAGCGGCTTTCCAAATCCACTGTTCCTGGATATGGATGTGCTCTTCTTGTATATATTTAAAAAAAAAAAAAGGGACAATGGAAATTATGTGTTCTTGAAAAAATATTATCAACTGACAAATGGATACAGTCAGCTATTTAGATTGATTCTAGTTGAATTGTTTTCAGTTAATATCTTTAGTAATGCAAAAAACACAGCATCTGAGTAAGCGTCTATGGTCTAAATCAGCGGTCCCCAACCTTTTTTGCACCACGGACCGGTTTATGCCCGACAATATTTTCACGGACCGGCCTTTAAGGTGTCGCGGATAAATGCAACAAAATAAAACTAGTACCAGTACTGAAAAAAAGATTTATTCATAACACATGTGAAAAGACCCAGGAAAACTGAGTTAACGATAAAAATGATAACAAAATAACGCTGAAAACCAATAAAAACCCTGAAAACTATACATTTCACACCTGAGCCTCAACTCTCGCGGCCTGGTACCAAACGACTCACGTACCGGTACCGGTCCGAGGCCCGGGGGTTAGGGACCGCTGGTCTAAATGATAGCTGTAAATAACACATTCACATTCTCATTTTTCTTCCTTTTTAGCAATGATGTCACGTGAAAATGAAGCATCAATTCTTGGGAAAAGTGTTCTGCAGTCCACATTCTCAGATAATCCCCGCTTTCGACCAGATTTAGATATTTCGGTTATCAAAGGTAAACGGAATGAAAATGCTGAAAATTTATGGTTTGGACTGTCTTGTAACTTTGTTTTTTGTTCTATCTCCCAAGATCGAACAGTCATTGAAAATGCAGTAGAACCTGAAAGAAATCCAGAGAATGAAAAGATGATTGTTGAGATGGAAACATTTCTTCTGGCCTACCTCACAGCTAAGGTTAGTTGATGTAATAGATCTGATAATAGTTCAGTTAGTGTACAGTAAGATGCTAAGTAAAAACATATTCATCTATTTTATTATTTTGGTGACTTCTACATTGAGAGATATTATGCTTACAATTTTTTACTTAAGATGGAGAGCAATACAGCAAAACTCAAGGCTGAGGCAGAAACAAAGATTCTGCAAGCAATGGAGGAAGAGCAGTCATTGCATGATGAGGTCAAGGAGAAGAAACGTCAGTATCTCCTTGCAGAAAAGAAACGGCTGGTGAATGAACTGCTGGATTTGCAGGTCTGGAATAATAAATGGTGTTTTCCTTTTTTAACATGCGTTTTAATTAATACTGTTGTGTGTTCTGTTGTGGCACTGCTTACAACACTTGTAAGCAGATGAAGCATGGTTCTCTAAAATCTGCTGGTAGATGTCTGTGTTGATTTTGGACATGAAAAATACAGTGATCTGGACCTGGATTCTGTGACACTGGCCTTCATTCACTCCTTGTGAATCTCTCACATGTCCTTGAATCAACTTTTCTTGACAATCCTCTGAGGGCTGTGCAGCTTTTCCTACCACATTTTTTTCCCTATTTGTTGATAAGATAACAAATAGGAAAGATTGGGGAAACCTGCAGTCAGCTGAGACTGAAGAAGTCACTTGGATGAGTGACGAAACGTTTCTCCCACAAAACACTACGTCCAGATGAACAGAATCAACTTTTGGAGAGGTCCTATTTGTTGACTTCCTATTAATATGCTTTAGTACAGCACTCTGTGAGCATTCAGCCTTTGCTGTCCTCTAGAGGGTGTCGATCATTGTCACCTGAGCTGTGTCCCAATTCAGGGGCTGCATCCTTTGGAGGATCAGGCCTTTGCGGTCTACGTGGGCCAGCTCCTTCAAAGACCGAGAAGTGTGAGGCTGTGAAATGGGACGGTCTAGCCTTCAGATTTGTTTGTATTTGAAAAGAGTAAGAAGAAAAATCTTACAACCAAGTAGCTGCTGTCATTGAATTCTGGGATAGATTGGGCCACGACGGATACACCCGGCCCATCCTTCAAATTCGGGGAAATGAAGGACTCATTTTTCGGCTGCATTTGGAGCCTTCGAGTTGGGACAGCCTTCATCACCTGGCTGTGAGGTAATCGGCCTTCAAATGCGGCTTCCGAAGGATGCAGCCCCTGAATAGCACTGGACAACTGTCATCGGTTTTCCTCATGTGGCAGCTGTTAACCAAAATCATCAAAATTAAAACAAAAAAGGCTTGAAATATTTCACTTTAAACATACTGAATATAAACTATATTAAACCTTTACTTTTTTGAATTAAGTTACAATTGGTTTTTTGGGGGTTTTTTTTATGATTCTAGTTTTTGGTGACGCACTAGTATATTTAATGTCCATTTGAATTTTGGGTTAACTAATGTGAAAATACACTTAGGTAGCAAACTTTGGTTCTTTTGTACACTTTTGAATCAAGCTGGATTCTATTAATGTCTGGTCAAAACATGTTTTCAAAATGAAAAATGGTGGACACACAAAGCGTATAATCGATTCATGTTCTATAATTATTGTCCCTCAGGTTGCTACACTGACTCCTGTGGCAGAGGCTGTTGGTCAGTTTACAAAGGACTACAAGTCTTTTGCTACAGCTGTTGACACCACCCGACATGAGCTGCCTGTTAAGAATTTCTACATTGATGGAGATAGACGTGAATTTCTAGGTAATTTTTACGTTAAACTCATAAGTACGATTTTAAAAAAACAAACAAAAAACACAAAATTGCACTGATGCAGACTCCATTAAGCCTCCATATAAACGTTTTGATCTACTACTTATGTTGGTGAAATTTAAAAGCTACATGGAGAAATCCTTTCTATGTCAAACTGTTGACAGGAGGAGGATACACACACACACACACACACACACACACACACACACACACACACACACACACACACACACACACTAATTTAAAAATATACTTGGGGTGATTTAGCTGTGGTTTAATAACAAAGTGCCCAGCAGGGGGTGCTCTGACTGGAAAAATAAAAAAGACTTAAAGAACTGCATTTAAAAATAAATAAAATAAAATTCTTCCATGAATCAAGTTTTGCTTGGGCTCTGTTGCTTGGATTTTACAGGATAGTGGTATACTGTAAGGCTATGGTAAGAGCCTTGTTTTAAGTCTAATTATATATTTAGAAATATATTTTTCAGGCATTTACACGAGTGATTACATGATCCATTTAAAACTGTACAACCACCATGGGCTTTTGTTACAACAAAAGTCATATGTGGTATGTAGCTTGGAGAAAATTATTTTTTTCTGATCTCTTTTTTTTTTTTTTTTTTTTATAAATTTAAATTGAACCCTTTCAGATAAAGCTGTGGCATCCTTAAAGGAGAGTGAGAAATTGCTGTTGGAGTGCACAGAGGGTGATTATAAGGACAACAGCACATCTCTGGAGTGCCTTCGAGACATAAAAGTAACATCAAAGGACATCAGTCAGCAGCTGTCCGGGTAGGCACATGTATAAAGAATGTTGTGTTTTGCTATGTTAGGTTATGATTGTTTTGTTCCTTCACAGGTTGTGTAACAGTGTGGGTATGGCAGCTTTATCAAAACCTTTTAAAAACAATCACTTTTCTTTTTCTTTTTTTTCCCCCTCCCAGGGCCTTTAAGGAGCAGCTGGAACTGTCATCACTGGTCTGTCGTCAAAGAATCTATGTGCAGCAGAGCACAGAGGAGGAGCAGCTGGGCAGTTCAAGATCCAGAGAGCTCTACTGCCCCAAACACTGAAGGATCGCATTCAGCATGGGATACACAGAACAAGCACTTTGGATATGCTCCAACTCCACATGTTTTATGATTTCTATATATTCACACGTTTTGTCTGTTTCTGTGTGTACTGTGTAGGTGTACATTTGTGATTTTCTTTGTGGTTGTGTTGTAATGTTGTAAATGTGGACTAATTGCTTCTTTATAGATGTGACCAATAAATACAAGAAAGAATTTAGATTTTGCAGACTATGAAAAATCGCATTGCACTAAGAATCCATAATATCCTAACCAAGGTTGCTGAATACAGAGGAGTTTGAAACTTTGATCAAATAACTCTAACATACATTGTCACTAAATCACAAACTTGTGATATCTCAGAAATTGGCAAAATTATTAATTTGATTTATGAGTCTAACAACGCGTTTGAATTTTTGTTCGACCCCTTATGTGTGCTTGTTTTATTTTGCAATTTTAACTAAAAATCAAAAACTACGTTTTAAAGTCATAAAACATTCGACCTTAAATAAGTCCATCCTCACCCGGATGTGACGTTAATCAAGACAACAATGGTTCATTTCTATTGGTAGTTTGTGGAACGTGACGACCTTCCCTTTACTGAGAGCCAATGAATCGCAGGAGAAGCCGTCGCATGTGAGTAAAACATTTATTTCACATAAAGTGAGCATTTCTTAAAATTGTATTATAAACCAAATGTCAGTTGTATGTTTTTTGCTTCGAAAAACAGATGTTTGCGTGGAAATAACGATGTGTTTTTGTTTGGTAGCCAACCCTCCAGACCGCTAGCTAGCCGTCCAAGTTAGACATTAGCATGATGGTCAGCGCTGCAGTAACACCTGTGGCAGATATATATGTATATGCGGTGATTTATCCTTTACACATTGCATGCACGACACCGTATCCTTTGTTGCATTGTGTTATTCTAACCCTGAATCTGCAAAGGAGCAAGAGAGGTATTTTAAGATTTGGGGCTTCCTGTTTTAGCGGTGGGATGAAAACGTTATATTAAAAAAAGTTGCTTGTTGCACATTTACTTGGATAAAACTCGAATATACACATTATAATACAAATGTTAGCAAAACGTTTATGCTGCAGTTTAAAAATGTTGAATTGGTGCATGTATGAGGATAGTGAGACGGTGGTGGCGTGTGCAGTAGCGGGCATCAGTACTGAGATTTTCCTTGTTTGCAGTGGTGATGGACAGGCTGACAGATGAGGTCAGGCAGGAGTCTCCATGGACCATGATCTCTGCAGATGATATTGTGTTCTTTAGCGAGAGTATGGTGCAGGTATGCTCTGGCGATGAGAGGAAAAAAGTCAGTAGAAGCTAGACAGAGTACATGTGTGAATAAGAGGGATTAACGCGCAACAGCGAAGTTGTAAGAAGTAGAGGTATTGAAGGTAGGTACGTTTAGATACCTGGGGCAGCCATCAAAACCAAAAGACAAGAGACCAGAAGAAGAGTGTGCAGGTAGGGTGGAGCAGGAGGATACAAATCTTGGGACACATTTGTGACAGATAGCAGCAAGAGAAAAGGGGAAGACCTATGAGATAGTAGTGAGACCTGATCTGTGGTTTGGAGACAGTGGCACTGACAAAAAGACAGGAGGCTAAGCTGAAGATGCTAGGATTTCCATTGAGAATGACCACAGGATTGCAAAGATAGGGACGGTTTAGGTTGAGCAGTTTGGGGGCAAAGTTAGAAGCAAAGATGAGACCAGAGAAAGCGGTAAGAGCACAAAGAAAATGCATTCAGCTCCAGAGATAGTCCTTGTTCTATTCAGCAGTTATTGTTGAGTTTTGTGGACCAGCTGATGAGCCAGTTCTCCACCTTCTGCAGGGGCTAGCTACAGTGGCTTCTACCTCACAGCAGTTCCCTGGTGTAGAACTACCATCGTCAGCTCCAGTTCAGTTGAAGCTCCAGGAACACAATCCCCAAGGATGACATTTATCCATATATCATCTTTGCTTTCAAAGACCGAGTATAAGCGGTAATGTTAAGATGATGCTGGGAAAGATCATGATTTTAGAGGCAGCACAGAAATGAAGTAGCAGCCTCTGTTGTTTACCGTGGCAGACGGATTCAGGCACAAAGCAGGGCTCATTTAAGTTTGCTTGACAACGAGTAGAGATTACTTGTTGTTGAAAAAGGTAAATTATGAGGTAAAAGGTGCTTCTAATACTTGCTTTGCAATATCAATATTAATTACTAATTAAACTGTCAATCAAACAGATCTCACTCACAGAGGAGGGGTGCACCATCAGAAGGACAATGGAGACAAAGGGATAAAGAGCAGTGGCAAGGTGAAGGGAAAGCACAAGTTAGACAGGCGGACGAGGAGGAGCAGAAACCCAGACAGCATGAAGAGGACACGGTGCCAAAGGGGACCTGCCAAACGATGTGCCCCGCTCAGGAGTTACGGGATCGTGAGGCTCAGAACCGACTTCACCATTTTGAAATGTTACCAGGCACAGAGAAAGATCGGCGGCCAAAAGGAGACCCATCGCGTGCCGTTAAGGAGTATTCCAGACCAGCAGCTGGGAAGGACTCAACCAAACCGAGTGACCTCAGACCACCTCCTGTGCTGCTGAAAACTGTTAACTACCTTATTAATGACATTGCAGCCGCCCCGAGCCTGTATCCATGGACTGAGGTACGTAATATTTACACCGATCGTTCAAATTGTTGATTTCCACAAAAGCTTGGGACTTTGTGTAACAGTAAATAAGTCCAACCTTTTTTCAATATTTTAAAACTGGATGATGGCAACAGATTTTAAAAATGTTGGAAAAGGAAAGAAAGGCTGTAAAATGTGTAAAATACTGCATTCACAAGAGTCTTTCTGAAGTAACATTTCTCAGCAAAAATCATTTCATTGTTTATGGTACATAATATCAGGAAATGATTCATGTTTAATAACTGAATTGGTGACTTAGAAATTAAACTTTTGTTATTATTTAAAGACAGCTAAAGAATTTAAATTTAGGGCCCATTTATTTATTGTGCAGAAGTGTGTGTTACCATCTTCAAAACAACATGCACGTGCAGAAGCCAGTTCTTTATTTTACCAAGAACCTAACGGTGCTTTGACAAAAAGTGCAGTTGTAAAGCTTTAATTTTTGTTGTTGTCATAATCCCAATTCTTGAACCTTCCTGTCTTAAACTTGCTGTAGGTTATTCTGCTATATAAATTTAAACTGTATTGCAAGTGATTCTTACAAGGGATTTATGCTTCAGCGGGAAATCTACAGCGTTGCTACGTTGTAACTAATCGTTGGGTCGACATAGGCTACTTGCTGTGAGTGACTCTTTCAATGTGGTCACTTCCCCCTGTGCATTACTATTGCTACAGCTACTTTTTTGCTGCAGTTTTTGAATTTATCAGTGAAAGAATAACAATCGCTTTCTCTTGAACAAATAATCATGACATCGATATAAACACTCACAAATGTCAGCAAATTCTTGAAGGGAGATTGGTGAAACTATCAGAATGAATGTGAGCAAATGTACAAAGAAGGGGAAAAATTTAATGATACAAATATACTTGCCCCCGAAAATAACTAACCACAACAAAGAGGCGGGTCACAGCTCGCTGTACAACCCAGGGACATTACAACAAGGTAATTAAAACATAATACACCAGCACAAGCATAAATGCCAGCAACGACATTAGCCACCTATGTAGGTTATGTTATAGCCTCTCTCCAGCAGAAGTCTAAATCAAGCCTTGCAGGGAACGACAAATATTTCACTGTCTGTTCATTTTAAAATATGTGAAAATATCTGATGGAAAAATAGCAAAACAGAATCTATCATCATAGATTAAAGATGACTAATTTGTTGTTTACTTATTTGTTGTCGCGCAGGTTTATACCTTTGTCTTTGACCGTCTTCGTGCTGTGAAGCAGGACATGATCATCCAGAGGATGTCAGGATTGGACTGCGTGGTCATTTTAGAGCGAACCGTTCGTTTCCTCATCTATGCCTCTTATCGTCTTTGTGGGGAGCCGCTGCGGCTCTACGACCCACGTATCAATGATATACACCTGCAGGAATACCTCAGCTGGTTGCTGGATTGCTACATGACCAAAACAGGACCTCATCCCAATCAAGAAGAGTTCCAGTCGCTCAGTTTGCTGTACAACTTGGGTTGGTGACTTTGTTTATCATCTGCTATTTTGGTGTATTTGTATGCATGTTCAAGCTGGAAGTCATGCATGCATTAGTTCAGTGTTGTGCAAACAGATTTTTGATGCAGGGAATGTTTTCAAAAATTAAGAACTCCTCCACGTCCTCCAGAAAGCAATTAATTTTGTATGCTTTATTTTCTCTTATAGGTTCAGCTTGCGCTATGCAGCACACCATGCAACTCCCATTGCGACTGCGCAGCACTCCAAACATCAAACTTGCTCTTTTCATCAACCAAGCTTTCCTTGAGAGAAACCCTGTCCGTTTGCTTCGGTTGGCTCAAAAGCTAAACTTCCTACAGACCTGCGCGCTGCACAGTCACCTGATGACATGTCGTCAAGATCTGCTGCTCATATACAGCCACGGATACAGCAGCCGCAACTGTCGCTTTCCTCTTGACAGACTGGCTAAGCTCTTGTTCTTAGACGCATCACTTACAGCTCAACTGTGCCGGTCATGTGGAGTTGAGGTTAACAAGGACAATCAAGTAGTATTCTCCAAAGCTGCTTTCACGGAGCCGGGACAAGGAACACTGCACTGTAAACTGTATCACAGCATAGCATCTGAGAAACAGAGAGATCTCACTGTTAAGAATATTGTTCAGAGCTGTGTTGAGACAAATAAGAAGTAAACAAGCCGTACAAATACCGCTCGGTATTCTTATAAATTAGGAAATTGACTGTTTGTTTGTTTTTTAAGAAATCTGGACTGTCACTGAGCTGATGGCCACGAGTTACATTAAGATGTGAATTACTTTTATATTACTACCAATATTTTGTGTTGATGTTTCCCTCGAGTATTTTTTTACAAGAACTGTACAGAAATTCAAAGGTGTAACTGTTTACTCATTCTTATAAATTCAAATTTTGGAATCATTTCAATAAATTTGGTTACAGTCGAAATACAATGGTGGTCAGAAGCTTACATACATCATGGATTTGATTGTCGTGGTAATTTTGAGCTTTTAATGATCTCTTTCTTTAATGGCTGGAATGACTGTAAAGTGTACGTCTTTAAAGGCTTTTTCTTTAAAAACAAAATGAATTTATTTAGGATTTTCTGTAATCCACACAGGCTCGTGCACTCCATTTGTTAGTAAGTGGTGCTGAAGGTTCTACAGTGTCTTCTACCTTGACAAGACTTATTAACTTATGGTGATCATCATCAACTGAAACTGGTAGTTTCTTTGCCAGTTTAAAAAACAAAAGGATTTGTCAGCACTCGTTGGACTGACCAGTAGTCGGCACAATGTTAAAAGTCCAAGGAACTTGGTGTAGATCTAAGAAGGAGAATTGTAGATTTGGGATAGTATCTTGGGGTCATTTCTAAACAACTGCATTCTAAGATCACCAGTTCAAGCAATTGTACGCAAGTACTAGTTATTCAGTTATTCACTGTCACCCAGACGTTCACCCTCAGATGAGAGGAACTTGATTACGACGTTCAGGAACCACAAAAGCTCAAGCCTGCCATGAACTGAAAACTGCTGGTTATCCAGCATCACTGTATACAGTGAAGTGGGCTTTACATCAACATGGACTGAGAGTGTGTGACCAAAAGGCCCTGCTCCAAAATTGACACCTTCCAGTCCAACTGAAATTTGCAGCTGCCAACATGGACGAGCCTGTTTTGGTGCCAGTGGTAGTGGTGCATTGCGCAGTGGACGGAATAATGAAGCGTGACTACCTCCAAATTCTTCAACCTTACCACAAAAATCAACAGTTAAACGGTTGAAACATGAACACAGTTGGGTGATCCAACAGGACAATGATCCCGAACACATCAAAATTTATTTGAAAACGAATAAAGAAGGCTAACGTTAAGCTTCTGGAAGCTAGGATACACTTAAACGCCTTACCAGGAAACCAATTTAAATGAACTTTACTAAAAACATGTATACTGTACAATCATTCCACCCTGGACAAACAGCAGTTCGAAAAAGTAAATAAAAGACCAAAATAACCATGACATTCATGAGTGTATGTAGACTTCACGACTGCATCTAAACCTAAGTGCCACTAGAGGGCAGCAGATATCTTATCAGGGCATCAATGAACTCCAAAAGTGCAAATTTAAGTGAGTAAAACTGTTATAATCATGCCTTCGGTAATTGAATTGTGTCATTCACACCGCTTGGCATTTCTGTTATGTTTCATAATAAAACAGAGTAGCTGCAGATTTGAGATATTCTGACTTTTTGGCTGAGCTAAAAACGTGCAGATAGTTTTTAGTGGCTAAAAGGACACGTTGCTACTGTTTCTTAAGCTGGTCTCATTCATGCTCTCTGCAGAGAAGAGAAAGTGTCAAAGCGAAAGAAGCGCCGTCTGATGCCTCTCAACGCGATGCTGTAGGAGCGGAAAAAAAGACCATCCGACTTGAGATCACCAGGAACAACCGGGACAGCGAGAGCTGCGCGGATTTTAGATGTCAAACAAATCGTAACGGTGACATTTCTCCGCGCTGAAGTGGGAGGACACTTACAAATTGTAATGCTGAAATATGAGAGAGCGAAGCCGGGGCGGGTGAAGGCACATGGGTGAGGACTGCTCGTATACTCCGGGCTCTAAAAGACGAAAAAAAAAGGCACGATTTGCTTGGACCTGGATTTGGCGAAGACAGATGAATTCATTAAGTTGATCTTTGGTTCTCAACGGAGCTCTGCACACCTTTCTCTCCTACCGATCTCAATGGATAAATAGATAGACCGTGAGGGCTGGGATTAAATTTCATTTAACATTTAATCAGGGCTTTCAGAGCCAGTCTCATTCAGACGGTAAAGACTGTATCCTGAAGTATCCTGGGCTCTGGAGCCAAAATGTTACGGTTGTCTCTGACAGCTTTGAGGCTTTCGTGGATTTTGTACATCTGCACCGTGAGCACAAGTTCTGCACAAGAAAGACAGTAAGTAGCCTGTGTTACATGTGGTGTTTTTGAGCTGTTGTGTGCTCTACTACAAGCATTTCCCGGTGCTTTAAGTATGGATAGACTGTGATTGTTCATTGAAAAACTTTTAAAAATTATCTTTAAAAATAGTTTTATTTAAACTGAGTGCATTTCATTGTACGGATCAGTCAGATTAAAACCTTTTTGTGAATAAGCCACAATTTAATGTTATTACTGTCCCAACCACACTGCCACTAATGTATTGTTGTCATACTTTCATTAATTGTGTTACTAACCTGTGAGGAGTCACACAGAGTGATGCATTAGGTCAATGATAGCCCAAAACTTGCCAAATATGAATAGATGCACTCCTGTGTGTCTTTCATTGTTGTTTGTTTAACCCAGACCCAGGACCGATTCTATCAGTCAGATGCTTGAGGGGTTAATTGTGACCTTGGGAGATAACAGACCAACTAGTTGTAGCCAGGGGCGTAATTTCCAGGGGGGTTAGGGGGGTTATGACCCCCCCCCCCCCCCCCAATAATCAGACCCAACCAATATACCCCCCCTCCTCCCCCCAATAAAATTATGAATTATCTTGCATAAATAGGATGTTGATTTTCTTTACTCATTTCAGGTATTACCAGCAAAATAGTTGCATGTCTAATCATCTGGGAATTTACCCAGATTTATTTATTTAGACAGAGATCAGCACAAAGTTATGCCGATGGTTGTAGCAATTCTTCCAGGAAGAGAGGAGGGGTTACTATCAAACTCAAGCTAAAGCAGATCTTTTTGTGAAGCTTTAAACAAGTTAGCTTAGAAGTTTAAGCAATGAGCAAAACATGAAACCATGTGACTCTTAAAAGCTTCACCTACACATGAGAGCAGGCTCTTAACTCTCACAGGACAAAAGTTGAGCAAAAACAATTAGAACTTGAGTAAATGGAGCCATGTGACTGAAATAAGCACGGTCTCCACCACCTGATCCCAGCTCATCCAAGAGCTGGTTAAACTCACTGTAGATCAAACGCACAGAGTCAATTTCCTCTTATTATCCTCATTCTCCCGAAAGCCTTATTTTCCAGGGGATTTTCTCATGACTTTTTCTCTCTCTCAGGAACTGCAGTTGCCTCTAGCTGTAATGCCGTTGTGCTGTAATGCCAACCACCTGATCCTTCTCTCATGCATGCAACTGGGCTTGTGCTCAAGGATTTGCTCACCTCTAATTTGTGTGATCTTCAGTTAAGTTGTTAAGGGGTGAGTTGGCCCAGTCGAAAAAAGCTGCAAGGCTGGGGTGAGCAAGCAATGAGTTAGACTAACAGGAAGATATTTACACTTGCGTTGCTGTATCAGCCTCGGTCATCACATGGTCAAAAATAATTAAACTGACTGAGTCTCAAACACAGCTCAACATTTGGTGGACACTTCAGTGAACTTGCTCCACACACTCTGGTGATTGAGTCATACTGGAGCATGCTAACAAGAGCACCTATTATTCTACCTTTGTTACCTGAGAGAAGTAGCCCCTTTGTGCCAGAAGGCATGTTCTTTAGAAATAAAACTTAAATTGAACCCCCCCCCACTCACACACACACATCCTAGACTCTTAATAAGCATCAAAGAATGACCTTTGCTCTCTGACCTCAGTGACAGGTCCCCTTCCCTCAATTAAATGTCAGAGTGACTGTGAGGAATCTCAGCCACTATTTTTCCAAACAGATGTCGAGGTTCTGTCAGAGGGTGCCGGACCACCCAAAGAAAACATTAAAGCAACAAGCTCAGTGGTCGTCAGGCACTGCATCCCTGGTGAAAACTGCAGTTAACCTTGTGCGTGCATGGAAGTGAAAAAGATGAAGCGAGACAGAAAAAAATGTGTATTTACACCTGGTCTCCAATCTCCTTTTGCCTCCCTTGCCATCACCTGTATTCTCCCCCTACTGTCATCTCACCTCACTTTACCTTCCTTTAAACTCTCGCCTTTCCCTCTCTCTGCCCTCCTGCTCTTCTCTCAGGGGTTACTTGGTCGCTGCACCCTCTGTCTTTCGAGCAGGCGTCGAGGAGAGCGTGAGCGTAACCATCTTTAACGCGAAAGCAGAAACCCGCGTCCAGGTGCAGCTGTCGGTGAAGGGACAGACGGTTGCCCACAGCCATGGCTCAGTGCTCGGTGAGAACAAATTCTTTAAGCTAAAGTTACACTGGCACAGTGGGTTACGTTTGGAAACAAAGCATGCACCGACAAGTTAGGCAAGCTAAAAGATACCCCCTTTATGTCACTGTTTTCAAAGGATGCAGGCAGGCAAAATATACACATAGATTAAAGAACACACACACACAGACGGTGTGAGCCTCTGCTACAAGACAAGCTTTGGCTTTTATATAGATTATCTGTGACTGCAGGCATCAGTTCAGTCCAGCTCATCGGCCACTTAATGTACACACTGTGTGATTTGTTTGACAGCATAGATAGATGGTGCTGACTCTGCTTAGAGGAGACAGGTTGCAGCTGGAACAGCAACTGAACTGACTTAACCACAGCGCTTACAGTTAAAGCATGTTAGAAGCATGCATTTTATTGATCACTTTACAGATCTGTGAGAAACTGAGGTTTAGTTTAGCTTGGTTTATTAAGATCCCTATTAGCTGTAGCAGCACAGCAGCTATTCTTCCTGGGGTCACAGATCTCTACACTTTGACTGTAACTGATTACTCAAAGCCGTACAGCATCTTAACAAAAACAAAACGAACCACACATGCAAACAATCAAACAGCTCCTCACAACACAAATGGTGTTCCGCATCAAGCTAGGCACTGATGACATACTATTCGTACGTGCACACTAGTTCTGCTACATTGGCAATGAATTCTATTCCATAACAGACCAATAGAAAACTGCTCTACCGATTGAACTGGTTCTTGCTGTGAGTTATAAAATCTCTCTGTGGCGTGTTTGGTAGAATAATTTGTCATTCATTTTCAAACAAAATCATTGGAGTGTTTGTAACAAAAGCATCCCAGTTC